GATCCGGCCCGCGGGCCGTAGTTTGGGAACCACTGGCTTAGACCTTCTTTTATTGTTGTAGTTTGGCCGTCCTCCAGCAGAAGGCGCCACTGGTCATCCTTAAGTAGAGCCAGTGAGGCATTAAGAAAGATGGCGGCCAAATCAGAACGGGAAAGAGAAATGGTCCAAACAGAGATCGATGTGGGATACAAAATGCACGTTATGCGACTCTATTTTGACATAAAACACTCGACCAACTCCTTCAGTCACCTTCTCATTCAAAAATTACTGATTTGCTATTTGATAAATACTTATAAGAAACCACAATAACCTGTTTATCAAGTCGGTATTTACACAAAAATTGTCAGAATAATGCGCTTTCTTAAAATGTATCATGAAAAATTTTGCCCTTTGCATAATGGAGAAAGATAATCGGCCCCTTAGAGAAAACTCAAAGTTTTTAAGAAAATGGACGTCCAACAATTACTTGCTTGTCAAACGATAAGATTAATAAACTTTAGACTGACTTGTATCCCTAGTTGGTATGCTTTCTTACTTTGATCTTGGGCAGGTGGATGAGGCCTGAAAAGGATGTGAGGTTGTTCTGCTCCAAGTTGATCTTGCACAGGTTAGTAAATAAGTCTGGACACAGATCAACCATCCTGTGGGACGGGGGAAGGAGGTTTGAAAGCTTTATTCATTGTGGGAGTGAATGAAATGTCAAACTCGACTGTTTCAGATTTGTACCTGATGGAGCAGGACTGCAGGCTCAGATGGGTGATTTCTTTGTAGTTTGAGTGGCCAAGCTTCTCCACTACAGAGTCAGCGGTCAGTCTTCCCTTGAACATCATCTTTGCACTGTCACACTCACCTGAATCCTGCAGAAAACGCAAACAAAATAATGTATAAAACTTAATGTAAGTGTTGTAAGGTGTGAGATGATACGGTAGTTGTAGGTTTTTGGAGCATACCACTGCTGTTCCATCCAGAGCTTTAAGGAACGGTAAATGGAAAACAACGTATATTCGATAGTTTTCCAGTATCTCCACTATGGGATTCCCATAAAGATCCAGGATGATTAGATTTTCCAGTGCCTAAAGGAAAAAAGTGAGTTTAGACATGTCAATAATAATTTAATTATTTGAATAGGGATGCAAGTTATAGACTGATGTATTAGTTGACTAATGATTAATTGATAGGCAATTTTCTTAAAAACCTGCCTTTTCTCTTGTATGAAGAAGGCCGACTGCACAAAGGTGTATTTGGGACATTGTGGATAGAAAAAATGAGCAAATATCCACCAAAAATACCTCAGAAATCTAGAGAATAATCTCAGAAATGTTCTAGAAAAAACTCAGAAATTTCTCAGCTCCAAAAGTTAAAAATTCTGAAATTAATCTCAGAAATTTTTTTTTTTTTTTAAAAACAATGACATTTCTGAGCTCCACCAGTCTATGATTGCAAGAAAACCCTCAGAAATTTTTAGATTTTTCTATAAAAAACTGTTTTGTTTTTTGGTGGAAATTTGCTCCCCTTTTCTATCTACACTGGCTCGTAATACACCTTCGTACTCTTTCCATAATGAAAGGCTACATTTTTCATAATCTGCTGACGCCGCTCCGTCATGCAGCGTCTCTGCTGAATCGGCGCTTTTGAGGTGAAAATTGTTAGTCGAGTGTTTATATTTAAAAACAGAACCGCATAAAGTGAATTTTTCATCCCAAACCGGACTCTTTCTTGGACTGTTTTCTATTTTCCATTTTGGTATAATGGCACCGCCATCTTTAATTCTATGTCGATTGTCTGGCTCCATTTAAGGATGACCAGCGGCGCCCTCTACTGGATGGCGGCTGAAATACACATTAAAAGAGGGTCTAGAAGGCGGTTGTTAATTAATCAATTGGAACTCATTTTAATCTAATAAATTATTAATCAACAGTTAATTGTAAGGCAGTTAATTGTCCGCATGCCTGTATTTTAAACTATTTTTCCTCACTTTAAGAAAGTAGATGTCTCTCGATGTGGAAATCTGGTTGCCTCCTGCGTAGAGCTCCAGGAGAGAGCGAACGCTCCTGATGCCACTCGTTGAAGTGATGCAGTTATTTTCAACAGAGAAATGAGTCAGAGAGGGCAGCTGGTTCAGAACTGGGCAGTCCAGACTTTTAAGATTGTTCCCATCCATGCTCAGCTTCCTCAGGCATGGAAGTTTTGCTAAACCTAAATAAACAGGAGGGAAAATAAAAACATATAGGCACAGAGTCTGAGCTGATCAAAGGAAGTGATGTTGAGAGTTGGATGAACCGTTGAGCGAGCTGATGCAGTTGTTTTTTATGGAGAGCTCCTCTAACTTGAGGCAGGTGTCCAAGCCGCTGAGTTTGGAGATGTTATTGTCGTTGAAAGAGGCCCACCGCAGGTTCACCAGCTTACTCAGATTGAACAGTTTGAAAAGTCTCTGGTTGTCAAAGTTCAAGGTTGTGATCTGCTCAAAAATTGACGACCGCAGGCAAATAAAAGGACATATCAGATATATATAATTATAAAAGTTGAAATTTACATAAAGAAACACATCCACCTTTTATTTCTCAATGAAGTTAAATCTAACTAAACATTTCTTGACTTAGCTTAGAATTATCCAAACTATTTCTACTTCCTAAATGACAGAAAACTTAGCAAGAACTTTTTTTCTGGTTTATTTGAATTCAAAAGTTTGTGACTCAAATTAACTCAGATGTGTTGGTTAATCTATTAGATGTTTGTGGAAGTAAACCCAAAACATTTGACTCAAGTCATACAATTTAAAGAGTTTAAAAATCGATTAATCGTGATTAATCAATTATTGAAATGATCAAATGTATCTAAACTTTGAATTTAAGTAATTCAAAAAGATTTCTAAAAAATATTCACGCCAAGCTTTCTGGCATTTATCAAAAATAAATAATTTTGGTGATTCTGACTAATCTAAAACAAGAAAGGTTTAGTCTGATTTAACTTCAGACAGTAAGGAAAAAAATATGTCTCTTTTTATTCAAAGTATACAAATATCTGATTCCAACTGTATATTCTACCCAAGAGGTCAAGCTGAACACAACTTATGGTTTGTCCTCTTGCTGCACCTTACCTTTGCCATCCAGTCGGACTCCAGTTCTCTGCCGGGACCCCAGGGAGCCGGACCCAAACTGGAAATGAGCTGAGCAGTGGACAGCAGGCTGAGGCTTCGAGGACGTTCGCTGTCAGTACGGGACTGGGCCAGAAGGGCCGCCTACAAGCACAGCCAGCAAATCTAAAACCAGCATCGCCCCTTCCTGTTTGCTCTCATCATACAGAAACCTTACAGCAACTCGACCAGAGCAATGACAGACTGTTATTTCTGCAGAATAATAACATCTAAAAACACAACACAACTACAAACTAGAGCTGAAACGATCAATCAGATTAATGGTGATAAATCTATTATTGAAATAATAATCAACTAATTAAGTAATCAACTAATTGCTAACTGGATTATAGATATTCAACAAAGGACAATTGCTGAAATAACATACTTATAGTAACTAAGTCAAAACTGTACAAAATAATTAGCATTTTCACGAATAAATCTTTGTCTGTAAATGGCAGACAAATGGCAGTTTTAGCTTCACGGCGAATTTCAAAAACATTAAGGTTTTTGAAATGGTTAATTTTCCAGACACCAAAAAAAAAATTACATATTGCCAAAAATAAGTCAAGCTTTTAGGTGCTTGAGCTGTTTTTAGGAGTACAGACCCAAATGGAAGTATAAAACATGCAAAATTTTTATAATGTGAAATTTGCATAATAATTCCCCTTTAAGCATCATCCTCAGATATAACCAGGTTGCTTAACATAGCTTTTGTTCCCTTAATTTTAGGTTCTTTGTCTGATATTGGAATTAGCTTGGTGATCTGAAACGTGGGATAAATAAAGGAAAATATTTTTTCACTGCCTACATAGAAGAGCTATGATCATTGCTGCCACACGTTGAATATGATCTCATTTTATATTGGAACAACTTCCAAGATGTGCACAGAAATCAAAGTTAACGATGAGATTCATGTTGTTTTAAAGTTTTGCATCAAACTAAATATGTAGCAAAACCTAAATTTGTTTTAATTTCATAAACATTTTTGCTGCCCTCACACACAAAAAAGGGCCAGAAAACCTCCACCTGGCTGATTTTGACGTCAGCAGCCATGTGACGAGCTTCCTCTGCCTCTTCTTCTGTTACCATCGCTCCATCGAGGTGTGTGAGGGTTGCAATACGGACCAGTATAGTCATTTTGACCGCCTCTGGCTGGTGATAAAAATAAACATTCACACATTCTTTAAATCTTGGAGTTCTCACATGCTGCGTGTGACAGTAAGCTTTTCACCCTGCTCTGCACCTTGATCCATGGATTATATCTGGTGTCCAGTTTCTGTAAAGCAGGAGTGTGTTTCCGCAACACGGCCGTGTCTTCTCGGACTTTGGTCAACTTATTCCAGCTGACGTTGAGCTCTTGGAGCTGCCCTAAACTCTGCAGCCCCTCCAGAGTCACCAGCTCATTAAAGCTAGCGTCCAAAACCTCCAGGTTGGGCTGAGGAAACAGGCGACAAGTTTTTATTCGTTCTGCCTCCAGAGTGTCTGGGGTTTTTCACACATGATAGTCCAGTAGACTCAGTTTGATTGGGAACCAAAGTTGCAACATTTGTTGTATTTTCAGCCTTTGGAAAAACCTGTTCCCATTCTCGCCTGTGGTGGCGCTGCACCAACAACCACTGCAGTAAATGACACAAAAACCTCTGAAGAACACGAGTGCAACTTCCTTCTTCAAAAAATGTAAACAAAAATGGAGTGGCCTGAGATTTTAGCGCGTGTAGGATTTCTTTTTTGTGTTTGGTAAAAAACACGAGTCATTTCTCCTACTAGCACATGTTTATTTTGTTTGTATTTACCCAGAATGCCCTGCACTGCAATCAATTTCCTGCTTTTGGAGCGATCTGCGGTCTGGTTGGCATTCACATATGCATTCGGACCATGTCAGAGTTCACTTCAAACCTAGGTTTGTAGGCGGACCAGATTTCACTCTTTTGGTCTGCATGAGTTCGATTGATGCGAATTCTGATGTGTTTGTTTCCCCAAATGAACCAGACGTTCTAAACAAACAAACTAGAGGCAAACTAAACAGGGCAGACCTTCACACCAGCCCGGTTTAGTTCACTTTAATCAAACTCTAGTTGTTTGTCTAGAATGTCTGGCTGTGAAGACGTAACTATGATGTGGACCAACAAAGTGAACTTTGGTCCAATTACAAACCTTGGTCTCGGTTCGGTTGACGTGAACTTTGGCGTAGTTTGAATGTATGTGCAAACGCCAGAGATGGAAAACAATGCAGGGCATTCTGGGTAAATACATCTTAAAATGCGTGAGGCTAGACCTTGCAGGAAAAATGCCTTGTGGTTTTCTGCCAAAGACAAAAGAGAAATCCTCCAAACGCTAAAATTTGGCACTACCCCATTTTTGTTTACATTTCGTGAAAAAGAAAGTTATGCTCATGTTCTTCAGAGGTTTCTGAGTCATTTCCTTCAGTGGTTCTTGCCGCAGCGCTACCACAGGCGAGGAGGTGAAGAGGTTTTTCAAGAAATTTGGATCATTCAACAGTGTAGTGTGAAAGCGAACCACACCAGCTGCAATGTAAGAAATGCTGCAATTTTGGTCTCCAATTGAACCGAGTCTACCGAACTAACAGGACCCTCTAAAAGTTTCTCATAAAACTGCCGCAATATCATTCAAATTAGTCCTTTTGGGTGGCCCTATACACACTATTACATTGATTTTATATGACTATGTTTACCATGTGAGAGATGTCATCAAGGCGTGTGAACTTATTGAAGCTGATGGTGAGATGTCTCAGAGCTGAGAGGCTGGAAATCTCTTTGATTTTACTCAGACTGTTACCATGAAGGTTGAGGACCTGCAGATTCAACACAGCAGTGACGGATCACAGAGAGGGATGTGAAAAGAGTTAAACACCTTCAAAGGCCTTACAGTGATCTGACTGAGGGTGTTCGCTCTGGCCACACTCAGCAGGGTTCTCTCATCAAGGCTCAACAGTTTTGGCTGCGGCTTCAGAGTGGGATCCATGCTGAGGGCGGCGACGTCCGCAGTGGCGTCTTCAGAAAGAGAAACATCCCTCTGTCCACAGCGGCTCAGGTCTTCTCTGTTCTAATAACCCATCAACATGTTCAGGTTGGTCAGTGCTGATTTTAACAGTAAAACAAAAACAACTGAGCTCTAATGACATGTTTGAGCTGAATTTAGTAATCATGCAGCTGATTTGGGCAAAATATCTTTCAGACATTTTGGATTTTGCAACACGCAACAGCAAAAATGTTCAAAAACAAAATTTGTGTTCCCACATTTGAATTACTGATCCAATAAAAAAATTACACATCTTGACACCCCCACTATTATTTGATTAAAGGACTTTGGCAAATTGCATCTCGACTGCTTTTAGCTAAAATTCACTTATAACATGACATTTTCCCCATGTTATAAGTGAGATAACCTGCCAATGGAGCTAGACCAGACAACAATACTTGGTAAGATTTTTTTTGTTTTTGCAGTGTAGAGAGCTTAAATATCCAACCAGAGTGATGCCAGAAGCTTGTCAGTTGTACAAAGATAAGTCAGGAAAAAAATACTCAAATTACCGTAGTGATATATTCAAAGTGTATGATGTACTCTGGCAGGATGAGCTCATGGTCAAATACAAACCACTGCCTCCGGTGGTGGAGCCCACCCTCAGCGCTCCGAGGCATTCTCGCTGACTTGGGTCTCTCTAAAGAACAAACACAAGGAGATCCACAGAAACTGACCGGCTGCAAACATAAACTCTTTGAGTTGGGTTCAGGGAATACCATCACTTCCTGCAGAGCTGCCCCTGGGGTCCAAGTATTGGTACACAGAGTAGACATTGGGAAAGCCATTTCCCAGGTCACCAGGAACAGGCAGGCTGTTACCCACAAACACCTTACAGACAATAACATGGCCTGCAGGGGAACCATAAGACTTCAGCATTTAAAGCATGGAGAGAGAAGGAGCCAGGTAATTTTAATAAAACTGTCTCACCGTGCCTGAAAGGGATTTTATCTAACATTTGCTTGGAGTCACATTGGTTGGGCTGCTGCAGCAAAAACTGGATTCTGGGTTGTTCAGAGACAGCTAAACTGTTGGATAAAGGGACAGCAGCCTTTCTTCCCAAACCCTAAAAATACAGAAACACACGAGTTAATCAATGTTAGACTGAAAAATAATAATCAAGAAACTGACACTTTGCTTCTTTGCACAAGAATGTTAAGAAAAGATTTTATCTACTCTAAGCGGTCATTGACTTGAGCTCTTTCTGAAGACATGATCTTTTTATATATTCCTATTTTTAAAATAGTGAATCAACCGAAGCAAAATAAATTTATTTACAGTCCCTTATGAAAATATTTGCTCCTTAAAATTCTTCACTTTTATTAGGCCTGAAACGATTAATCTGATTAATCGTGATGAACTGATTAATCGTGAACTAAAAAAATGGCATTTGCTGTAAGAACACACTAAGAGCAGTAATTAAGTCGAAACTGTACAAAAATACATACATGTAGCATTAAATGAGTACATTTGAAGATAAAAAATAATATTTTTCTATAAACATGTTCAACCAAGAACTCCACCAGTGGCATAGTTTCAGCTGCTTCAAATTCTGCAAAAAGAAAAATAAATAAAATCTCCCATTAAGCACCTTTTGCTACACATTTATTAACCAGTTAATCCAAAATCTAATCACCAGATCAGTCCTATACTGGACTGATGTTAAGTTCAGCAGAAACGACTGAGTTGCTCAATGTTGATGTTTAGAAGTATTTTATTTTTTTAGCAGCAGATGCATCCTTTGCAACAGATAATCAAACATTGAACTTTTATTGCATTTTAGGAAACAAAATATTTATGATTTAAAAGAGAAATTTAGTTATTTGTTAATGTACTTCCAATATTATAGAATGTGCTTTTTATCCAATTAACTGATTAATCGTCAGAAATCATCAGAACACAAGAAAACTTACAAGTAACTTTTCAGTAAGATATAGATGGTTGTTTTAAGTCAATAATTTCTTAATAAAAGTGCATGATAATTTGTTTTAGCTTTTATTTTATTTTTCTCCTTTCTTGATTTTACTTTTGTCTGTTCGAAATAAATAAATAAATAAATAAATAAATAAATAAATAAATAATGATCAAATAAAACACTAGAGCCACTGGCAGATTATTTGACTTGTAAAATTGGAAAAAGGCCTTAAATGTGAAAAAAAAAATCTGCCAGTGGAACATTTTTATCAACATTAACGAATTATTTACTTAAGATAAACTCCTATAATTTTCTGAAAAATTTCTTATAAGTTAGTTCTGCATCAATTCAACTCTACTCAGGTATTTGCACGAGAAACTGGACAAAAATACTTGATAAAACTTTGCTTTTTTGCTCTGAATACATAAAATCTTGTGGTAGTGACATGGTGAAAAAAGTCAATGATAATGAACATTTTGACAAAACACTGCATGCTTAATTTTCATAGTAATTAATCTGTATCAAACAAAACCAGTCAGGTGCTTCTAGCAGCTTGCTCACCTTCACTTGGTTTGTGGTTTTGAAACCCTCCTCTAAAATAAACAAAGTTTCCTCAGTCTCACTTATTTCAGGGTCAGCAATGTAGAATAAATATTCCAGTCGACGTCTGTAGTTCCTGTTTTAAAAAAACATCCCTTTATTCCACAGCACGAAGCGTAGATATGCAGAGGCTTTAAAAGGCATTACGCTGTCATTTTCTTTACTCACTGTAAGGCGACAACGGATTCTTCTGTGGAAAGAAGGCTGTGAAGTTTGTCTTCAAAGCGAAGCCTCAAAGCGCTATTGTGGATGCGGAAAACCCTGTTAATCTTTATGTCTGCGATCCTAAAGCTCGTGTAATCGGATGGAGAGAAGCGGGAGAGCAGCAGGTTGCGACAGGGAGCGTACCTGTTGGTTTGAAAACATAAAACAAGCTTTTATCTGCTCTATGCAGCTTTGACCTACTGCAAAAACAAAATTATATTCTAGTCTGTCTCGGCCTATATTGCTACACTCGAAAAAAGACAAAAACAATTTAATAGTTACTTTTCAGCAAGATATACGGCCTTGTTTTTAGTAAATAATTCCTTAATGTTGATGAAAAAGTACTAGTTTCACTGGCAGATTATTTCATTTATAATCAGACACTCTCCCCATGTTATAAGGTTAAATAATCTACCAGTATACTAGTACCGTACTTTTCCATCAATATTAAGGAACTGCAGACTTAAAACAAGTCTCAAAAGTTACTTGTAATTTTGTCTTATTTCAAGTGTACAAATAAGATATTTGCACCAGAAACTACACCACCATATTTGGTAAGATTTTGTATTTTTGCAGTGAGAATCTTGTTGATGAAGATCTAAACCAGTACCATGAGTCTAAGGGGCAGCCCTCCTCCACACGAACATTTCCAACACTTTCCAGCTCCACCAACAAAAACTGAACCAAATATTTTGTCTGCTTTGTGGCTTGGATCATTTCCTCCTCATACCAGGCCTGAACCCTAAACACATGCACACAAAAACAGCCGTTGTTATCCATGCCTGGAAAAGGCTGCATGTTCTAAAACGCTCCAGTCCGATAACCAAAGCAGTTCCGTTTAATGACAAATGTGCGCACTTCTTTGTCCATATTCTGCTAATGTCGAAAAACTGCGGTGTTTCCATTAAATAAGAAGTTAAATAAAATAACGCGTGAATATGCTTGTAACTGAAAATAATAGCAGCGACGGATGTAAACATTTACATGAGATTAGATTTGTTTGTTTGTTTTCTCCTTTTTTTCGAAATTGGCGTGTTTCC